TATATATATATATATATATATATATATATATATATATATATATATATATATATATATATATATATATATATATATATATATATATATATATATATATATATATAATTTGAGCCCTGGAAGGAAAAGTGAGAGATTGTGGCTGAGAATCTTCTAAAACTGATGAAAGACATTAAGCCACAAATTCAAAAATACCATGACCCTCATGCAAGATAAACAACAAATCTGGCATGCTTAAATATAGAAGACCAGCTTAACTGGAACATGGAAAATAGGGAGAGGGAAAGTTCTTGGTGATGATGTTGGAGACACTGAATCAGGTAGGGCCTTATGGGAATTTAGATTTTATTCCAGTTATATTTGGAATCATTTTGAGGATTTTAATAAGGAGAGACCTGATCTTCTAAGATCACTTCTGCTGCTATGTAAAGGATGAATTGCAGAGACCACTTAGGTGATTGAGATAATTCAGATGAGGAATGCTTATGTTTTGGCATGGAGTTATTATAACAGAGGTAGTATGATTCAGGATGTATTTTGGAAGTAGACCTCCCGCTAATGGATTGGATATGGTGAATGAAGGGAAAAGAGAAAGTAATTGAGAATAACTCTTAGACTTTTTGCCTGAGCTTATGGGTAGATGATCGTGCTATTTATTAAAATAACAAAGACTCTAAGTGGAGCAACTTCAGGGGCATTGTAAACAGGGATCAGTAGGCCTATTTTAGCCATGTTAAATTTGAGGTGTCCCTGAAACGTCAAGTAAGCATTTAAAATACTAGTTTGGAACTCGGGGAGAAGTTCAGACTAGAGATAAAGATTTGAGAGTCATCAGCACACAATTTTTATTTAAAGCCATAGACCTGAATGGAATAAGCCAGGGAGAAAGTATAGATAGAGGAGACAAGAGACCCTAGACCAAATCCTGGATCACTCTAACACTTAGAGGTAGAATAAAATTACTTAGCAAGTACAAGGAAGGAGCAAGAATTCATTTACATCACTTCTATATACTTTCAGCCAGATCTTACTGCACTGCCATAGTACAAAAAGAAAGTGGAAAAATGTAGTCAATTACTTTATTTTGGGTAGCTAATGCCCAACTGAAAATAGAGGATTCTGTTACCGTGGAAAAGGGGAGAATGGATAGTTAGGGTACAACTAGCATTCTTTCCACAGAGATCAAATAAAGGAGTAGGTCCTGCAAAGGAGAGTGAGGAGCAGCCAGTGAGGTAGGAGTAAAACTAGGTGATTATGGCACCACAGAAGTCTAGAGAAAAGAAGATATAAGAAAGGCAGAGCCGCCAAGCCTGTCAGATGCTGTTGTGAAATTAAATAAGACAGAGCCTTTGGCTTTAATAAACGATGGAGATTATTGGTAATCTTAAGAGCTGTCACAGAGGGAAAATGAGGGCAGAAGCCCAATTAGAGTAGATTGAATAGAGAGTGGGATACAGCAGATTTAGGGGAGTCTTTTGAAGAGTTTGGCTGTAGAGGGGAGCAAAGAGAAGAATTAGCTACAAGAGGGTAGAATCATCTGGAGAAAGTTTTGTCTTTGCTTTGTTTAATTAAAGGCGCTGTTAAGGCTATAACAATTACCTAGTAAAGGAAAATGTGGTCATTCGTAATGGAGTAGATTTGGCGGCATGGCCCCAGCCTGACCAGTGGGGCCGGGAAGTGGAGAGGTAGCAAATATTCATGAACAATAAAGTTTACCTTAGAGTACTTCTCAACTTATTTAAATTCACCACGTTAAAAATAGAAATGGTAGATTATGCATTGTCGTATCTGGTTTATGAAAGACAAGAGACAACTCCATTCAGCAAACACATTTTTAAAAGTGGATGAGGAGAGGAGAGTTTGACCCTGATTTTAATGGCAAACACATATACAGAGCATGTATACTATGTGCTAGACAATGTTCTAAGTGTTTTACACTTAATTCTCACATCTGTGTGGTTTCCTAAATCCAGAGATTTGGCAAATGAATGTAAAGTTATATATTTTAAAGTAAAATGTTAAGACATCTGTATATTATTATTATTTTTTACTTTTGCCAGTCTTGTCCATATGAGATAAGAGTTAGATAAGAGAGTTTCTGCTGTACTACCATGGAGTGCCATGCGGGAAAAAGTAACGTACAGAACAGTGTTTATAATGTGCTATCATTTGAGTAAAAGGGGGAAATTATATATCCATATAGCGTCTTTCGGGTAATTCCTAAAAATTGGTAACAGTGGTTGTCTCTGGAGTAGAAGTTTCAACTCTTGCTGAAATCTTTGTCCAGTGTATTAACATGCTTAACTAAATAAGTGTTTAACCTTTCTTTGGTGATTCAAGTCTTGCAATGTGTCCAGGACACTTGGCAATTTCACCTTCCACAAATAGATTAAATATCAGCTCATCTTCCCACCATTTGTCTCCTTCAGATTTAAGTTAAATTCTAAATTAAAATTCTGGTCATGTGTTGGGGTTAGGGGACATACAAATAGTTGTATTTAAGATCATCATAATTTTAGTCTGTACTTGCCAGTGTGTAAATGTCTACTTCAGAATTATTTGCAATGTTTAATTTTAAGTCTTTAGTCATATGATATCCTCATAGTGTTTTCTATCTTTGACAGGAATTAAAAGGTGGAAAAGCTTATGCAAAGGTAAGTAAGTGTTCTTTAACTCTTTTGAAATTTGTAATATCACTCATTGCTATTTATAAGCTTAAAAATTTAATGGTTTGCTTTTCTAATTGCTGTTCAGACTTGGCTGTTTTTGAATAAAGCAACTCGGAGATTGAATAGTTGGATCCAACAATAAATTATAGTCATGTTCTTTCTAAGTGCTGATTATGGGATGATGTTCTTAAGTTTCAGCTTCCTTACCAGAAGATGATTTCTGGTTTGCATTAAACAATAGCAACTGCTAATTCAGTCTCCCCTGCGAAGTATTCTCAGTCCTACCCAACGCCCAGTGGAATAGGACCCCCTTTGTGCTCTCTCAGTGCTCTGTATATGCATGGCCACTACCGTCCTTTATACTTTTACTAGCTATATGGAATGACTAATGAATGTCCTCACTTTTTTGCTAGATAGAAGGAATTAATAATTAATGCTACTACCAGAAACCCACATACCCTCTTTTATTTCCAGTCTCTGTGATGGTATCTCCATCAATCCTGTCATCTAAGCCAAGAACCAGGACACTAGCTTCAGCCATCAAATCCACCTAACTCCCTGAAACTAGTTGATTGCAGTGTCAATTAGTATGCTCTTTGCTCCAAGTAACAGAAAACGCTCCTCACCCAGAGAGTTTTTTAATCTCACAAAACACGTAGGTATGAGATAGAGCTGTAGATGTGAAATAGAGCTGCTCCAGGATTGGTCAGTCCACTGGCTGAAGGGCATCATCAAGAACCCAGGTTACTTTTCTTTTTTTATTCTCATATTCTTTATGCGATGGCTTTGACCTTGGCTAGCTCCCTTCATGGTCACCAGATGACTGGCTGCTCAAGTTTTAGTCAACACATTCACGTGTAACAAAATCCTACTACATCTCCATCTATGACTACTTTTGAGTGAGAAAACTTTTCCTAGATGGCCCTCAGAGGATTTCCCCGTACCTTTTATTGTCCACATTGGATCATATGCCTACTCCTAAACCAGTCATGGGCATCAGGAGGGGATTGCCATAGTCAACTTAGACTCATCACAATTTAACAGTCAGCAAGAGGTTGGGTTACTTTCTTTGTACACAGGGATGAGCTAAGAGTGGACCCTTGAATAAAATCAGGACTTGCTAGCAAGGAATATGAGGGTGTTGAATGGTGGTTAGGCAAAAAAAAGCAGGCTGTACTGTGATTGACAAATCTTCTTGATTTCTCCCTTTTTTTTCTTTATAAAGTTCTTTTTTATTATTGAAGTACAGTTGTTTTACAATATTGTGTTAATTTCTGGTGTACAGCATAGTGATTCAGTAATACATATATATACATTACAAGGTATTGAATATAGTTTACCTGTGCTATACAGTAGGACCTTGTTGTTTATCTATTTTGTATATATAATAGTTAATATCTACAAATTCCGAACTCCCAGTTTATCCCTCCCCACCCACTTCCCCCTCTGGTAACCGTAAGTTTGTTTTCTGTGTCTGTGAGCCTGTCTCTATTTTGTAAAGTTCATGTAAGTTTGTGTCTTTTTTTTTTAGATTCCACGTATAAGTTATATCATATGGTATTTTTCTTTCTCTTTCTGATTTACTTCACTTAGTATGATGATCTCCAAGTCCATCTACATCCTACAAATGGCATTGTTTTATTCTTTTTATGGCTGAGTAATATTCCAGTGTGTGTGTGTGTGTGTGTGTGTGTGTGTGTGTGTGTGTGTGTGTATACATCTTTATCTAGTCATCTGTTGTTGGACATTTAGGTTGCTTCCATGTCTTGGCTGTTGTAAATAGTGACACTATGAACAGTGGATGATAAGCCAGAGGGCTGTTTTTTATTCAAAAAAAATGTGTTAACTGCCTCCCATGTGCCAGGTATTGTTCCTGGCACTTTTCTAAATATTGGAGACACAACAGTGAACAAAACAGACAAAACTTCCTGCCTTTGGGGAGCTTAAATTCTAAAGGAGGATTGAGGAAGGGGGACAGGCAGTAAACAAAGTAAATACGAAATGTTTATATATATGATGTGCTGACATCTACTGAGGAGAAACAAAGCAGATAAGGGACAGACGGTGACAACTGCAGGGGAGGGGAGGGAGGAGGCAGGCATGTTTTAGAGCTATTAGGGGAGGCCCCTTTAGAGAGATGACATTCAAACATAGACCCTGATGGTGCGACGAAGGAAGCTGTAAGAAGGTCTAAGAGAATGTGTCAGGCTAAAGGCTTTGAGGTGGTCTTTGGTTTTCATGGAAAAGGACCTGTGGCTGCAAGAGTAAATAAGGAGAAGAGCAGGGGGAATGAAGTTGACGAGGGGCCGTGCACGCAGGAATCAGAGCCTGTCGGCACAGACGGCACAGACGAGTCCTTCAAGGAGTTGTGCTACAAAGGGGGGCAGAAGAGTGGCCGGCGAGAGGTGTAGGGTGAGGTCTTGTTTTCTCTTGTGCGTTAAGATGGGAGAAAATCCAGCACGTCTGCGCGCTGGTGGGAATGATCCAGGAGAGAGGGGAATTCCGGAATGCAAAAGAGAGGGAAGAATCCCTGAAGCAGTGATTGGGTGAGAGGAGAGTGGCTGGCCTGGGACGGGAGCACGGCCAGTTCCCTTACAGCCGGCAGGAAGGCGAAGGCGTGGGCTGGCGGCCGGCAGGGGGCGGAGCCTGTGGAAGTCCAGTGCTCCTCGGAGGGCTTTTATCTTCTGCGTGAAATAGGAAGCAAAGCATCAGCAAAGAGTGTAGTTGGAATAGGAGGTGCTGGAAGTTCAAAGAGCAAGGCTAATGTATGAAATAGAGCATATAGATGACGTGTGATCACAGAGCTGAGTCTTCACATGTTCATTTAGATGTGACTTTGCTCTGGACATACCCAGGTTTTCCTGCTGATCTCTTGGACCCCTGCAAGAGGCATTAAGACCAGAGTGACCATGTGAAGATCAGGTAGATGTTACCTGTGGCTTGACGTACTTCTGACTTACTTCATTTGGAGCTTGTGGACCTTCAGCTGGTCTCTTAACTTCTTATTCTTCATCCTTTTTGTGCCAATTAAAAACCACCAAGAATGACTGAAAAATTGTGCTGAACACTGGAATTTGACACAACATTGTAAAATGATTATAAATCAATAAAAAAATGTTAAAAAAAAACCACCAAAATAATGCTCCAGCCTACAATTAAAATCTCCATCTTGAATGCCATTCATATGTGCCCACTGCATGTTTTAAAGCATTAAAGCAGGCAGCTTAAAAACATAGCAGTGTTGAAGTATATAATACTTTTTATTATGTATTCAGGGAGATGTGCTTAATTAATTACTAGCTCAAAACATTTTTTTGTTAATAAAAAACTATATACACTTAGTCATGTAGAATAGACTTAGTTTGTTCAAAAAATAATGATATAAGGGGGATAATTTCTCATACCAGTTGGAAATGAGAAACATCATAGGACTGAGCAACAGAAAAAAGATCACAGGGCAATCTTTGGTAGCTGCAGAAAATGGGGACCAAACTTAGGTAGTAATAAGAGGGAGGAATGGTTTGAGCTGAGTTTCTGGGTAACTAAGCAGGGAAGGTTGGTGTGAGGGAAGGAAGGAAGAAAGCTTCATAAAGAGAGATTTAGCTCTAAGGGGTATCAGCAAGGCAAGTGTTGTGGAAGGTGGTGAAGAAGAAGGAGCTTGTACCAAAGAAAGTATGTGATACACTTAAATCACTTAGTTCTTGTGCAGAGAGTGAGAACTTAATAACCTGCAACTATCTGCAGTCGCCAGTGGTTGACTGGAAACAGAGCCAGACCAGAACCGGGGGAGGCGAGTCTGATCAGTTTTCTCTGTACACAACTGACCACGACTGGGCTGCTAGTATCTCCCATAGTGCAGCGTGAGCGCCACTGCTGCTTGCATTGATTTCAGTTGTTTAATATGCATTATTTTTACATTAACAGTTATAACAGTTATATTAGCATGTCAGATCTGTGACTTCATTTTGCTTAAGGCAAGAGTAGAATAGGTAATAAATTTTTACAGAAAGTGAGCCAATTTTTAAGACATACTAAGCAAAGAATTAAACAGATAGTGTTAAGTTGCAAATGACTGAAGTTTGAGACAACTTGGATAGAGCACACGGGTTGAATGTTTATTTTAAAGAGAATGTGATAGAAGCCTAGTAGATATTCTATTAATATAATTCTCTTTCTTTTCATAGCTGGGCTTTGCAGATCTAAACCTGGCAGAGTTTGCTGGATCAGGAAATACCACTCGTCGCTGTTTACTGGAAGGCTATGACACCAAAAATACAAGACAAGATAATTCCATTCTTAAAGTAAGCACGTTTCCAGATTTGCATGTCAACACATGAGATTCTCTGCCTTTAAATAAGCAAAGGTATATACTGTCAAGGGCAAGATGGGAATCAATCCTGAGATCATAAGCTGACCACACCACTGAAATACTCACCAGCTAGGAGAGAAAATTCTCCAAATCACAGAAGCACTGAAAAGGAGCAGATGTTCGCTTTCATGGTTCTGAGGTGCTCTCTGGTGCTTTGAACATTTAGGGAAGAATACACACAACCACCACAGCAAAAGGGCCACTGAGAGGAAGGAGCAGCTTGAATGAACAGTTTGAAATGTTTACGGCTTCCAAGAGGTGATTTCCAAAGCAGCTGTGGTGGGCACGTAGAAGTCACTGGGCTCTCGCCCAACAAGTGAAGTGACAGGTGGAACTCACTTTGGACATCTGCCCTACTTTTTCCAAGTACCTTCAGGAGCCATGTATTCTGGTGAACCCACAGGGAATACACACTTCAGAGAGCTGGTAAAGTACCTTGCACCTGGTACAACTCACTGCATAAACCTTTTGCTCTATTTCCGTCAGGTTACGCCATTATAGCAAGTTATCTAATGATAAGAAAGGAGAATAGGGGGAGTGTATAGCTCAGTGGTAGAGTGCATACCTAGCATACACAAAGTCCTGGGTTCAATTCCCAGTACCTCTGGTTAAAACAGACAAACAAACAAACAAGTAAACCTAAAATTACCTCCCCCAATTAAAAAGTAAAATTTTTTAATTTTAGAAATAAGGAAAATAATTCTGTATAAAGACTGAATGTCAGAAGTTAGTGGACAAAGAATTACCCTGTAACCTAACAGTTTTCAAATTCAGTGCCCGGCACTGAATAAATTTTCAAATCGTGACTGTTGCTAAGGTTGTCGACATTATTACCATTATCATTATCATTCCCAGAAGAACAAAGTAAGATCCTAGGGCTGGTTCTTAAAAGGCAGCCAGCAACTTGAGAATAGCAGCATTTCAGAAAGCATTAGCAAAGCTTTAAATTCTGGTCCAAATCGCGAGCAAAGGCCAGACGCATTCTACTCTCACAGGCCGTCAGCCAGCACCCCTGGAAGCATTACAATGGCAAACACGTTGGAGGGAAACATTCCAGACGCTTAAACACTACAGGAATCTGGGAGGAAAGACAGATAAAATAGACCAGAACAGCACACACCCACAGGATCGTTCCTGGTGAAGCACTTGCTTTCTGTTTCCAACTTTTCCACTCTGATTTTTGCAGATACAAAGTTTTGAATGTTAAAAATGATTTTTAACCTATGTCTGTATAAAGCAGCAATTCAATACTGGAAATAACCCAATTCAGTAATCATTTTATGTAATACTGTCTATTTCTAAATAGAAAATACTGGACCAGGTACTGTCAAGAGTGCACAGATTAGCAGAACATGGCTTCACCTCGCAAGATCTTTTATAATTACAGTATTTCTTTTTCTTATGTTCAGGTTTTGATCAGTATGCAACTGATGTCTGGTGACCCCTGTTTTAAAACGTAAGTTGATGCTCAGCGAATGAGTTATTTATCTGAGAGTGTAGCAGTGATTTGTTTGTTTAAATTTTCACATTCGTATTTTGTAGTGTTGGTGGGCTAATATCAGCAAAGGAATAGTTCTTTTCCCAGGACACTGACCTGACCCTCATAGAAGTTACCAGACAAGCTCTGCACACTCTGAATTATTTATGCTATGGGTCTTTTGTCATCTTCAGGTTTTGGGTGAAATTATACAAATTAAAATTTTTAATTTGATCTCTGTGGACTTTCTTATTTCTTCAACAAATACCTATTAAGTGCCTTTCTATGTGCTAGGCCCTAATTTTGACACTAGAGAAATAGCAGTGGAAAAAAAAAGATCAAGTCCCTGACATCTTGGAGCTTATATTCTAAGAGGAAAATAAACAACAAACCAACAAGTAAATGTATAACATAAAGATGGTGATGAGTGCTTTGGAGAAAAATAAAGCAGGGTAGGAGGGCCACGGTGGGGAGGAGTGCTTTATATTTATTTAGTCAGGAAAGTCCTTCCTGTTAAAGGGTATGATATTTGAGCAGAGACCTGAGGGAGGTGGGTAGCAAGCCGTGCAGATGTTTGGGGAAAGAGCATTTGAGGCAGAGGCAGCAAGGAGAAAGTCCTTGAGAGAGGAGTGTGTTTTGCATGTTCAGGTAGCTGCCTGGAGCCCAATACGTCTAGAACAGAGGGAATGAGGAGGTTAACAGCAGATGAGATCAGATGACAGCGTCTTGTAGGCCATTATAATAATAGTCTCGTAGGCCACTTAGAATCTGAGGGCAATAAAAAGCTGCTGGAGGGTTTAAAACAGAGGAGTAAAATGATCAGACTTACGGTTGCTGGGTAGAGAATAGATGATTTGTGAGGAGCAATGAGGGAGCCAAGGGCAGAAATAGGTAGATGAGTTAAGAGAGTGTCTCAGCAATGCATGGTCTGGGCCTGAGTAACTAGAAGAGTGGGGTAAATTTATTGAAATGAGAGTCTATAAGTGGAACAGGTTGGGAACTTGGGTGTTGGACGTGTTAAATTTGAGATCCCTCTTTAACATCCAGCTAGGCATTTTAAGTAGGCAGTTGGCTATATCACCACAGGGTTCAGTGGGAAGGGCCAGACTGGAGACAGAAGTTTGGAAATCATGACATTAGCAGCACATAGATACTAGTTAAAGCCATGAGCTTTGATTAAATGACCTAGAGAGAATGAGTATAAATAAAGAACAAAAGACTGAGATGTGTCTACTATATATATAATAGACAAACAACAAGGACCTACTCTACAGCACAGGGAACTATATTCAATATCTTGTAATAACCTATAATGGAAAAGAATCTGAAAAAGAATATATATGTATGTATGTATGTATATGTATAACTGAATCACTTTGCTGTACACCTGAAACTAACACAACATCGTAATCAAAGATACCTCAATAAAATAAATTTTTAAAAGAGGGGAAAAAAAGACTGAGATGTGGGACACTCCAGCATGTTAGAGGTTGGGGAGATAGGGCAGAACCAGCAAAGGTGCCACCGATGAGACAAAGAGGAAGGGACCAAAGGAGAGTATGGTCCTGAAACCAGGTGAAGAGCGTGTTTCAAAAAGGAGGGAGTAATCAGCTATGTTACACACTACTTAAGGAGGTCATGGAAGGTGAGGGCTGAGAATTGACCTCTGCATTTTGCAGTATAGAGACCGTTGGGGTATAGTCACCGTTGGTGACTCTGACAAGCACTGGTGGAATGCTTTTAAACTACAGCCATATTGGAGGGAGTTAAAGACAATTTTGGAAGAGAAAAATTGGAGACAGTGAGCATAAACAATTAGGAGGAATTTTGCTATAAAAAAAACAGAAAAATGTAGTTATAAATAAAAATAGGCTATGAGGTTAAGGACAGCTTTTTGTTTGTTTTTTAACATGGGAGATAGCACAGTGTACTTGTATCTGATACGAATAGTCCAGTAGACAAGGAGAAACGTACTGCAGAAGAGAAAAGGGACAGTTGTTAGAAGAGTGTCCTTGTCAAGAGGAATGAGGGCAGAGAATTTGGCTACAGATGCAGTTATATGAGAAAAGGAAACGTACGGAGGTTATTTTCAAATTGCTCCCGATTTCTTAGTGATACAGGAAACAAAGTGATCATTGAAGAGCAAGGATGGAAGAAATGGAGATGGAGGTTTGAGGAAAGAGGAAAAGATCTGTTAAAAGTCTTCTCAGAGAGTATGGGAAAAGGCAGTAGGATGCCTGCAGCAATCTTGAAGACACCTAATCATTTAAAATGAAACTTAATCAGGTATTATTTAAATATCTGAGAAAAAAGATAGAAAAGTAAACAATTACTTCCTCATGCATTAGCTTCATGCTTTCAATAGCAACATCCATATAATTCTCTATGTACATATGCTGTTTATAAAGATGAAAAAATATATATATAACACAAATCAATTCTTGATTAAAATTACGCATTTTCCTATAACTTAGCTTTCCTGTGCTGTTTTCTCTCAAACCATGATTTCCTGGCTTCTTTCTTTATTTCCTACTCTTTTGGGACTAAACAGTTTTTGCTTCTTAGGTAACAATATGTTTTTCTGGTGGAATCAGTTTAGGGTGAAATGAGAAAATGAGCAGCAAAATTTAATAGAAGAAAATGCTTTCCTCCTTAGGAGCTTTTTATGAATGTTCCCTTTCTGGCTCTTTCTCTGCCATTTTATCCATTAATGAAACTCAGATACTGAAGAGCTCAAAAATAGATCATCTTATGTTCTGTGTTATCTCCACAAATGTAATTCTGAGAGTCTGGAGTTTACAGAGAAAGACTTTTATAACTCATTAGCATAAACAAACTTTACCTAATCCCAAGACACAAAAGTATTTCTCAGGAGAATCAAACCCCCAATATTTGTTTTCTCTTTTCTTTGAATATCTGAAATTGTGCAACTGTCAGTGGGAAAAGAGCAGCTCTGACCCATCAGTGCACTTTCTCATACTGAGTAGGGACTGAATGGAAAAACGTTTGAACTGCTGATGTGAAAAGTAAATTACTTTTACCAGGTGGTATTTTAGTGTATATCAAATATGTACAATCACAGTACTTCAGAGCTGAAAAGAGTGTTGGAAGTTGTCTGATCTGGTGACTTTTTTTCCCCAGAATATTTAGCCACAAAAATCCTTTGCACAAATATATTATGAATCCCATATATAACATTTTTCTATTAAGTGGTAAAAGGTATAGAATCCTGCTACCCCCTGAAGTGCCTAAAGGAGCTTCATGAAGCCAGTTTCAAAAATATGGGTATAATCCATGTCCTCCTTTTACAGGTGAGAACACTGAGGCACAGAGCAATTGAGTGACTTGACTGAGTGTTGTCTGTAAGCCATAGATGTGAATCGCTGCTAGGGAGGTTCATTGGACGGTTCTCTCTGCTTTTGTCTGTCTTTAAATTTTTCATGATATAAAGTTTTCAAAAACCTACCAGAGAAACAGACAGAGTACAGTGGATCCTTAGCATTCTCAGAGTCAAGTTCTAGTTTTGGTACTATATGAGCAGATCTGTGACTCAGATTGCACAATTTTTCAGAAACACAAATTTTATACTAAAGTCAGTATTTATGAAGACAGATGGTAAGCCAACCTCTAACCAACCACTTGCCCTGAACTCTGTTTTGTATTTCTCTTCAACTCTTAAAATAGCCACCGGCTCTTTATAAAAGAATGAAGCTGACTCTGAGAAGAAAGCCAATCGCTAGAACCAATGAAGAAAAAGGAGATTTTGAAGGAGAAATTATATACTGTGCTGGCGTTTAATTGTCTGCTGGTAAAGCGGACCTAGGGGTGATGTAACCCTCTTGAGGAGCTAGGGCTCTGGGGTATTACTATTCCAGAAGGAAGAAAATCACCATTTGCCGAAATGATTTAATGACTGTTACTGTCACCCAGTTTAATTCCTGGAACAATTCTGTAATGTGAATATTATCAACTCTGTGATGGGAGGACATTGCAGCTCAGAGGTCAAGGAGCTGATTTGTCCAGGGTCCCAGGACTCACTCACTCACTGCGTGTGCGTTGGTTGCCTGCCGTGTGCTGGCATTTACCAAGCTGAGTAAGACCAGCCACCTGCTCTGAAGGAGTCTCTGTTGGCGTGAGGGACAGACGTACAATACATGATGTCACTGAGGCATAGAGGATAGGGACCCTAACTCCTTTTCCTGGAAGACCAGGAAGATCTTCGCTGAGAGGGGAACACTGAGCTGGGTTTTAAAGGATGAACAGGAAATCACTAAGCACAGGAGGTGTGTAGAGATGTTGCAAGAAGCTTGTACAAGTTTATGGCATTGTGACCGGGCGTGGAAAGAATATTTATGAAATACCCAGTAGGTAGTCGTGTCGCTTTAGGAGGTCATTTCTCCCATACTCTTAACATTACTGTGAAATTAAAACAAAATAATCCCGTCCCTTTCCTTCTGTAACAGGGCTACATCAAACAGTTTCTGATAAGGGATATAAAAACATTTTCAGAACAAAAAGCGTAATAGGATTAAAAAGGTGGCACATGATGGGCACTCAGTGATTATTTATTCCGCACAACTGAGTTGTCTCAGATGACTTGGGAGACTTCAGACTCTAAAATTCGCTAGGAATTTTTTATTCTAAATTTGCCTTAATATCAGTGTGAATTTTCTCCATAATGGTTAGTTGCCCCAGGAATAGAGAAGTTAGTGCAGATGGCTGAAATTATGAAGGATTGGGATTCTTCAGATTTTTTGAGACTGCAGAGCACAGGGCACCAAACTGAAGGTATTGCTCAGAGTGTTATGGCTGTGAAGTCAGACTGGACAGGAGGGAGCAGAGCCAGAGGGAGACTGATGGAGAGAGAGAAAGGGCAGAGGCCACAGGCTGGGAGTTCTGAAGGGTGGAAAATAGGTCTAAGAGGTAGAGAGATGGAGACACTAATCAGGACACCTGTGAAAGGAAAAACAAAGGAGCAGGTATTAAAAAGATAAGAATTTAGACAAGCAGGCATGAGTCACCGTCAATGATTAGTGATTTGTAACTGACTAGAGATTCCATTCTTTGTAAGTGTATTTCTTTTACATATTGGTATTTCTTATAGAATATTGAATGTAGGGTTTTTGTTTTTCTTTTTTTCCCACCAACCTGCTTTACGTTGTTTAAAATTATAGCTTTTGGTAATTGAAGAGGTGGGTCTAGGTCAGACTGCATGGGGCCTTGTATTGCCATTCTGAGGAGTTTGAGCTTCATCCCAAAGGAGCTATTAAAGTGAGTTAAGTCAGAGTAACATGTGCATATGCACACTTTAGAAAGAGCACAGTGAAGGTAGCATGCAATAGAGGTAGGCAGACTAGTTAGGAGACTCTTACAGTCACCCAGGAAAGGCTGCGAAGGCCAAGCTCAAGTAATTAGTGGAGGTGGAGAAGAGCTGATGAATAGGAAAAGTACTGAGAGAGAGTCTGTGGGATATGGAAATTGATTGGGTATGGATAAAAGTGAGTAGGAAGGAACAGGCAATATCTAGGATTCTGGTTTTGGTGACTTTTTTCTTTTTTTTTAATTGAAGCATAGTTGATTTACAATATTGTGTTAGTTTCAGATATACAACAAACTGATTCAGTTATGTATATTTTTCAGTCTTCTTCATTATAGGTTATTACAAGAGATTGAACATAATTCCCTGTGCTATATAGTAAATCCTTGTTGCTTACCTATTATATGTATAGTGGTTTGTATCTGTTAATTCCATTCACCTAATTTATCCCTCTCTTTCTCCTTTGGTAACAGTAAGTTTGGGGTTTTATTTGTTTTTTTGTTTTTTTGTTTTTTTAGTATTTACTCAAAGTACAGTCTTTATTTTTTTTTATAGTCCAATTTTTTTAATTTTTTA